GAAGCTTATTTCGTCCTATGCGGGACTCTTCAGCCACTGGATGTACCTGCAATCCCATGTGACGGGTGGTCTTCCCACTAACACTCGGACTTAGTATTCTTCATTACAAGTACCCAAGTGTTATCTACTAGACCATGTGGATGACGCTTTGGCTTTTGTAATGATGGATACTGAGTTCAATTCTCGGTGGGAACACTGTCATTCACTGTAGAATGCAGGTACATCCAATAGATGAGTCTCAAGAGAGATGAAATGCTCATCCTGGATTCCATTGCTAACCAGCATTCACCACATTACTTACAGCAATAAGTACCTAGCTCGAAAGTATCAATAAACCAGCATAGATAACCGAAGAATCTTGTTACTATTAAGGAAGTTAAATCTCAGAAGAAGCATAAGAGACAATAATTACAATAAGCTACCAGAAATAACAACTTTCAACTTAATATGGGAGAACAAAGACGACTACTACTACTACTGCCTCCAAGAAATGACACCATTGAATTGAGAAAGTTAGAATAGCCAAACAAGATTTTAAAAATATGAAAATACCTTCAACACTGTGATTTATCTTGATTCACATTATCTAGACTGCTTGACCAACTGATTTCAAACATCATGAGAAATTTAGCCTAACTGAATCAGACTATACGAATTGCTGTCTCATTCTTGGTTGGTGAAAAATCAATTTACTGAAAATGGAATTAGTGATAAGACAAATGATGGAGGCATTGTTTCAACTACAGGTGACAGTATAGATGAGGATGTCACAACCACTAAGATCAAGTCATTCATTTCTTCTAAATGGTTCATGGACTTGGTGTGCCGCCAAAAGCATTTCTAACAGGCTTCAGACTTTCATCAATAGCTAGTTTCGCCGGCTCCATTCTGAAAACCAAATACCCTGAAAGGATTAGTAACAAGGAACTCTGTCAATCAAAGAACCAACAAAGAACCTATTGCCCAACAAATGCGCAAGGGAGGAATGGGAACGTATTGGAAACAATCAGAGGAAGCTTTTGAGTGATGTTTCCTGCCAGGCCGTTGCTGAAGTGGAACTCGAATGAGAAATGACGAATTGAGCGCTCTAGTCTGATTAATAGGAGATGACATTTGATATATGTGAACGACTTTATGATTATTCATTGTCGGATTTGTAATCAATTGCCGAGAATGTTACCAGTAACCAGAAGGCATGAATAGGTTCATTACAAATTTTCAGAGGCAATATTTATGAAGTTGAAACTAATGATCAGTCATTTAAATATGTCTGTGTCTAATTCAGGACTAGCAGGATTTTAGTCAGCTACTGTTTCCAACAACTCCTTTTCCAGAGCCTACTATTATAGGTTCACATGCATAAAAAGCTACTAAAAGGCCAAATACTCGTGTTAATCATTAGAATAATGACAGTTGTCATTATTATAACAATAAAGATTCCAATATAAACAATAATCATGAAAAACTATCGTAGTATGGTTACAAAGAGGAATAATAGTCACTACTTGTTAATGTTTAAATCCATATAAAGCGTATGGTTAAAAGAACATTAAATAAAGTGAGCCTAAGTAAATGAATGCCATTTTTTGTGAATTTACGATGAAAAAAATCATACGTTTCAAAGGGTGAACGGTAGTCAGTGGTTTCAAGAGGAAATCTGAGTACTACAATGCGTCGGTGGCACAGCGGTTAGGACACTCGCCAACCATGCACATGGTCCATGGTTCGATCTCCGGCCACAGATGCACTCCTTTACCTCGCTAAGCCATAAATAAAAGCTGAGAAAAGAGGAAAGGTTTAGCATGAGTCTAGCAACCCAATCCTGTAAAAAATGAAACATTGCTACCGAAACTTTGATGCTCTAGCTTGAAGCCCTGTGTTCCACTGGGAACGTGAAGGAATAAAAAAAAACAGTAAAACAAAACAAACAAATGGCATGCGCTAGATGTAAGCTCGAGGTATGAGGACAAATAATAATAGTCATGAAATGATGATAATAATGGTGTGGTATAAACACAATGTAGCGCACTGTTTATCAATTGGTGAAGAATTTATTATGCTGAAAAGAAAAGGATTGTGTAGGTAAAACAGCTAGTTTAAAAGTATTGAGTAAGCCTCAGGGAATGACTTATTGCAGTAAACTTAGTTAGAACAAGGAAAGAACTAGCATGTAAGGTGGTTGGAGGCAGTCGTGAGGAAAACTTCGAGATAGATTTCGTGCTTATCAGCACTCATCAGTCAGCAACGCGTGTCTGCAACTTTGAAAAGACTCATATCGCTTCTAAGATTCGAAACCATGTCGCCCACTGAGTACTCCAGTCAGAGACGTTACGACTGAGCTATTTGGGCTCGCGATTAACCTCCCCTAAGACTCTATTGGATACTTTCATTGGACACTAGTAGCTAGTGAGACGTGTCTAGTCCTTTGTTTGGTGCAGACTGAATTCTATCACCACTAGGTGGCTCCCTATCACGGTGCACTTTGAATTGTTGATGTTAGATTGTTGGAGGTAATTGGTAGGAAGCCCAGCTTTCGACCTAGATTTCGTGCTAGTTGGCACTCGTCAGCAAGCACGAAACTTAGATCTGAGGCTCCCTTCTGACTTCCTCCAACCATGTATTAACAGTAATTAACAGTACACCATGATGTCAAACCACCTAGAATGGTGGCCACATTGCTAATTCGATTGACAGAATTCAGTCTGCACCAAACAAAGGATTAGAAACGTCTCACTAGCTACCAGTTTCCAATGAAAGAACTAGCTTATTTGTAGGATAATACGAACTGAAATTATTTCGTGGATTCTTGTCAACTGTTTTTATAAGCAATATCAACCTAAAAGTTACAAAAGATTTAGACATAATTTTATCACGATAATGTCGAGTTACCGATAAAACGTATAAGCCCTAAAATTCCAAAATGATGTCAGTAGACAAATTATTCACAGCTAAAAAAGCCTAACTATTTGTACTACAACCAGACAGGAGGGGGGAGTACAGTTCATATTTGGCACAGACACAAGTGATGACAACATACAGAGTATAAAATATATCACACAACAGAGTGAATGAATTCACACATAATATGGTTAAAAGCTCAAGGGGAGTAGGAGTGAATAGTAAAAGTGAAATTATGACAGACATACAATTAAGTTAATTTTAAACATAGGCAGGAATTATCTAATTCAGTTTAGATTTTCCCGCTGACTGAAGTGCTTGGCCTCCGGTTGAGATGTGGACCCCTTGCCCAGATGCTTTGACGATGTCTAGTCGTGTAATTTGAAGTCAATCGGTTGATGGTGACTGCCAGCCTCTGTGGGAACCCCGTCACTCAGTGAGGAATTCAAGTACATCCAGTGGCTGACGGGTCTCAAATTGGATGAAATGCTTATCCTGAATTTCACTGTTAGTCACCATCCACCAATTGACTTTATCGATGAGAATAATTAAAATGATAACAGTAATGTGAAGTGCGCTTAAAATGTCTGTAACTACAATCGCAGTTTAGTATCAGGTGATAAAGCAAATAAAGTTCAATATAAAATAGATCCTATGATGTACAGATGTCGGAATGCAATGTAAAATCGATAGAACTGGTAGGTAGTTGGAACATTACATAACGTGATGGAAAGTTTGATTGGGTGTAATTTAATTCCAGTCGACCCTCACTAACCGTATGTTGTTCTCCACCTATGTAAAACACAATTTTCCTTCCAAGAATTAGTTTTTAGGGATTCTAATCGTTTCAGGATTAGGCCCCCGATTGATAACAGTTAGAGAACTGTTGAAAACCATCGGGGAGTACTGGGTAGCTGTTTCATCCTAGTTTAGGATCCATCGGCAGCACGCAACCAATGGGACTGATTAGAAATCAGAATTCACGGGCCATTGAATCGGGTCCAATCGGTGGGATGGTCTACTAGCTCCACTTGTAACCAAAAGGTACTGGGTTCGAGACCTCATGGTTGCGTACTGCCAATGGGTCACAAACTAGGATGAAACAGCCGTCCACTAATTCCCTGATGTTTTTCAACGGTTCTCTAACTGATATCAATCCGTAGTCTAGTCCTGAAATAAGTCTCCTTGATCTTATAGAGCAAGGTACAATCAGCCGTAACTAAGGAACGCATTCCAGGAGAATATGAGAGCACATTTCAACATGGCTTCACAAGAAAGAAATGAAGCGTGTAAGAAGCTCTATTCTAGAACACTAGATTGAATTCTGTCACTCAACCAACTCCAAACATGATTTTAAGATCATCTAACGGATTCACGGTAATTTTTTACGCTTTCTTCATCCTTAACTTCTAACAACAGAGTAATTCATGGACATTCATAAAATTCAAGTGAAACCCTTGTGTATAAAAGAAGTATTTGCATTCCCTGTTTCTAACTTGGTCGTAGAGGAAAAAAACATTTATTTATCTTCTATTTTATTTATTTAGTTGATCTACACATCTTTCCCTTATTAATACGGCCGTTATTATCACCACTATTACTCTCTTTCTCTCTCTGAAGAGTTTCCTGTATTGTTGTACCTGCCCCACTTATTATTTTAAATTAATATAATTTTGCAATGTTAAAAGGCAATAGTGGTGCTATAAGGAGTATGATAATTGAACGCCTGGTTAACACTGATCATTCCATCTCAACAAACGCTTCCTGCTTCAAAATAATCTACAGAGTCAAGAATAACCTATCAAATACAAAACGGTTTCGTCTTCTTTGTATCATTGAAGCTCTGGCCATTCACATAGAAAAACCAGAGCTGTGCATACGAAAGAAGATTACTCAATTACTTCTACTGTCATGATTCGAATTTTTTTATATTTTGATGACTTAATTTCGTTTGTTTGCCTGTTTCTTTAATTACATATAATTCCTGTATTCATCTAGGACTCTTAGGTTATTTCGTATTCTCTACTTTGTCCCTAAATGTGTATTCTGAGTGGAACTCAATTATCAAACTATTCATATTATTACGTAAGTTCCTTTTAACAGCCGTGTATGACAACTCATCGCCTTTGTTACTACACTAGTTTCAGTAACACCTAATTTTTTTACCATTTTTTTTATTATGTAACTCCACCCAAAACTTACTAATTTTCACTGTTTGGTCAAAATAACCAAAGTAAACATAATCTATTGTATTTTTCTCTAGTTGGTTTGTAAGGATTAATTGATCACGGATTGATAACACTTAGATAACTATTGGAAACCAGAACTGGAGTACTGGACAGCTGTTTCATCCTAATTTGGGAATCATCGGCAGTACGCACTCACCACCGGGGTTCGAACCCAGAACATTCCGGTTATAAGGCAAGCTCGTATACCATTCAGTCATTGGGACCCACACGATTCAATGGTCACTCCATGAATTCTAACTTCTACCAATTCTCGATTTAGCGCGACCCCAACAAATGTCGTCGGTAGGACATCCATCCTCACACTCAACTGGATGGACCTCACTGATCACGACATTTTTCACTAGAACTCCGGGAAACTCCGTCCTGTAGTAAGTCACTAGAGAGCATCAGATTTTTGTTTGACAAACTTAATGTACACATACATACAAAATAGCACATATATATATATTTGCGACTATACAGCTAAGAAAATGAATTTGCCGCCAAAAAGAGACTCTTCGCTGAACTACGTGTTTTGTTTTCATTAATGAATGAACATTCTATCTCATAATGTGGATGGACACTTACTAACAGTACTGATTTTACATCCCTTCGAACATCTATACATTCTATAAACTATTTTATATATGTGACGTTACTTACTTTATCACTTGATAAGGAACTATGCTAATTATCGCATTCCACATTATTATTTTTATGATTTTAAGCATTCACGTCTTTGTTAAAATTTCCTAGTAGTATATACTTTCTTAAAAACCATATACGCACATAGACAATTGTACAGTGTGATAATAAATTCGTTGAAATGAGTCTCTTTCTGCTGTATAAGGTAAATTTGGAAAATTAATTAGTAAAGTCATAAGACAAATGTGTTTCTGAGAAACAAGGAGTCAGAGATAGAAGAAAAACTGGATTGAGGTCTAAATTTTTTTTAGAAATCAATGCCTTCAGAGGATATGTTAACTCTATTGTTAATCTAGGTATCTAAATTATCTGGGGACAGATTTTTTAGGTATTATCGGCTGGATTTATAACAGGTGGCAGACTTCTATCAACAATTGCCTTCGCTTCATATACAAGATCGAATTACCAGAAGGAATCAGTAGCAAGAAACTGTGGGGATAAACCAAACAAGAGTCGATCATTCAACAAATAAGTGGGAGAAAATGGAGACAGACCAGGCACAGATTGAGGAGACCGTCAAATGGCGTCGCACGCAAGGCAGACCATCGCTCGAGTGGAATCTGAATGACAAGTGACGAGTGATTTGTCAGTGCTAGGGTTACATGGAGGAAATCGTGTGAGTTGGTGGGGGAGGTGAAAGATTATGGTTAATCAAGGAGTCAGTCAGCTGAAGAGGACGGCAGAAAATAGAACAAAGTGGAGATGTATTGTTGAAGCCGTATGTTCCACTCAGAAGGCAAGGGAATAATAATATTATAATAATTAATATCGGCTATTATTCCTGGTCAGCACTGATGTGGATTCATAACTGTAAGGTTCTGATAGATATACTGAAAACAGCTATGTTTTCTGTAACTATTCTTTTGATAAATGGCCATTCAAAACAGATACCAAAACGGCACTTCATCAAGGAAAAAATTACTTAACAAATAATTGTATAAAATAAAATACGAACTTACCTGTATTGTTCAACTGTATGTGAATCGAAAAGCACTGTATTGAGAATTGACTGAGGTAGACTTTTAATGCACCACAACTATGGTTTAGAGATAATGAGAGAAGACAGAAAAAAAGGTAACAATTGGGTATCAAATAATGGAACTATTATATAATTTCAGTTATCAGAGTTTCATTATGAAACAGTATCAGTTAGAGAGATCATTGGAAATCAGGAAGCACTGAATAGCCGGCTATTTCGTTCTAGTTTCGGACCAGGCTGGTTTACTATTCAGCCAGTGGAGCTGCCTGGAATTCAGTGACCCCTGAATTCTAACTTTGTAAACTCATGATATAGCTCTGCCTTCAACAGTGCCTTTAATGAGAATCTTCTTCACTTTGATAGCCTGGACCCTATCGGCCATGATTTCCCCCACTGGAGCCTCACAAAATCCATCCAGTAGGTATCAGTGAGTTAGTGATTATTATTCAGATTACAGGTTTCGTGAAGATTTCCGAAAATAAGATGAAGCAACTGGCTGTCCAACGGTGTTTATTGGTCTATGAATAAATTTTAACAATAAGTGACATAAATACACAGCCATCTAGTGTCATTTCTCCATGTATCCCACTTAGTACGCCCAGTGTCTCAAAGCTTCTCACCAGAACTCCAGGATGTACATGCCATCGCCGGTCTTCCATGTAAATATATAACCAAATTTACGTCAGGAAGTGAACTGTATCATTATTCTTATTATTATTAGTGAGTTCTGAGTGGAATATGGGGCTCCAACAGCATATACCTGTCTCATCCCATTCTCTCCAGTCGTCTCTAGCTGGCTTCAAGATTGAACATAAGCTTTCGTTTCCTCATACGATTTATTCCATGTCACATATGGATGTCCATCTAGTCGTATCCCCTTCGGACTCCACTCGAGAGGTAACCTGGAGCGCGACGCCATTCAACGGTCTCATTTTTCGTATGTTCAGCTCATCTCCATTTTTTTCGGCTTACTTGTTGAGTAATAGGTTCTTGATCGGTCTGTTCTCAGAGATTTTTGTTGCTGACCCCTTCTGGCTATTTAGTCTTCAATGTGGGGCCGATTTTAAAGGTATTAAGCCTTTGGAAATGTTTTCTGTTACGTGACAGCCAAGTTTCGGACCCATATAGAAGTGAATTGACAATGGTGTTGAAAATACAAATACTGAGTGTAGAAGATTTCCGAAATAATTTCACAGTGATAGATGTCTATCTGGCACTTCCGATCCCGACTGCCTCTGACATCCTTATCCATGTCCCTAGATTCTATCTGAAACGATGTTGTCCAAGTAGGTGGAAGAAGTGATCTCCTTCAAATTCCTTCCGTTTACGATGATTGGTCCTTGTTGTCGTTTTCGGTTAGTTGCTGGGTATCTTCAACACCTCTGTCTTCTCTTTGTTTTCACTTGGAATACAGTCTTTGCTGCCTATTTCTTCTGACATTCTGTTGACTTTTGCCAATGAATCTTCGAATGTGTGTGACGTTAGACATAAGATGTCCATGGATTACAGATATTCTAGAGTTTTCATTATATGCCCAGTGTATTCCTATCTTCTCGGTCTCCAAAGTGTGCCACCGCAATTAAGAACATCACAGGTAAAGGAAGTGAACCATAGTAATCTAACATGAATCTATCTAAAACTTAACTAGTATGATTTGTAAGTAAGCTCAATCTTTAAAGAGGTTTATTCATGTAAACTCGGACATTTTCCATTAGGAAAATATGTGGGAAACATAAGCGATACCACAGATGACTTCTAAAATGGTCAGGAACTGAAGAAACATATGTGATCAAGATGGGTAAAGATGCTGAAATAAACCGACCTCCAGTCAAGAACCTGTTTTCCCACTCCTCTGGTTGTAAAAATAGCAATTGTAGGCTTTTTCAAGTCTATTTTAGTTACTTTATATTGAGTGAAGAACTATGGTAGTCATAAATTAATAAGCAGATTGGAGCTATTCTTAATATTTAAAACTGACTGTGGGCATTGATCCGTGAATAATCTTAAAGAAACTAACGCTTGAAAACTAATCTGATGATCGCTAGCGGCTGGCTACAGGGCTGAGGTGCCTGAGTTTCTAATGAGAAGTCGTGACAAAGGGAGTCCACCAGGTTGAGAGTAAGGATAGGAGGACTTTGGCTGATTATCATGCTGATTATCTCCGATTGACAGAAGTTGGAACCGGAGAGCCATACGATCAGGTCACAGTGGCTGAATAGTCTATCAGCTGGGCTGAACTCTGATAAATCCGTTCTACCGATGAGTCCTAAGCCAAGATGAAACAGGAGTCCAATACTCCCTGATATTCTAGTGGTTCCCTAACTGATATCAACTATTTCTCAAACCCATAAACAATAAAGTCCCTGCAAAATAACACTTGATTTCTTTCAATATTTGACAATTAAATAAATTATCACTTACCTGGGCAAATCCAATGAAAAACAACTGATCCGGTGTAAAGTTTAAACCTGGTAAAATAGGTTTGTCTTGATATTTAGCCTCAAGTTTTTTAAATGCCTATAAATTTAAAAAAAAATACACACATAAAACTTGCATGATTTATTACACTAACAGATACATTAAATTAAAATAACTGAATTCTTAGAAGAAAAAAAAAAAGCAAGACAAACAATGTAGTAGTGTGGACGCACCAATTACTTTGCATGGCAAATGCAAAGCAAGTTAGTGAAACCGGTTGGAAGGTTGGCAATACATTTTCAATGGTTCTGTAACTAACATCAATCCATGATCAAACTTGAAACAAATCAAATCCCTACTGACTAGTTCTTGATAATAATAATAATAAAAGTGATTCAAGAAAGTAGTTCAGTTTTTTAGATTATTCCGGGAACCACATCTCATGAGGTTTGGTGTTCTTCAATCCATGTCTGGAGCATTCTTAAAAACATCGATTAGGCGGTAATAATTCCAGTGACAAAAGAAGGTTGGGCGTGAGGCTAACAACTTCCTCCCCTAAAAGAAGATCAATGTTACTGAGACTTGAAAGCGCAAAGCTTGACGCCCTATGTTCCATTCACAGAGCGCAAAATAATAAAGTAATAAATTTTCACTTCTAAATAGATAGATGAGATGATGAGATTAAAGTGAAAACATTTTGGCAGCCTGCTTACATCAGTGAGTTCTCTTCATCAAAATCTGTCTTATTTGCTCAACTTCTTAATGTTTTAATTATCCAATTACATCTCTAAATCTTAATTTATACTCACGCCTGTTTTTTCAAATAGGTTTCAAGCCTCTGATATGGATTTTTTAAAGAAACTGAAAGAAAAGTTTAGCAGATTATTGGAGTGTGCTTTGGATGGAACATTATTGCATCAGACGATATATAACCGATAATTAATTCATTTCGCCAAAAGTGTGAACCATATGAACGTTTCAAATAGGTTCATGACGTCATTTGGTGTAGCCTCCTTGTTCATAAGGATCCCAATCAATGAAACTATTGAGATTATTTGTTAGCAGTCTGATATTCAGACACATATTGCTAATGTGTACCATGGATATAAAATTCCAGTTTGACGACACTCTTTACCGCCATATAGGTGGTGTAGCTAAAGATAGTCCACTTAGGCCTATTTTATCAGACATCTTCACGTCTAGACTTGGAATAACAAAGCTGAAGCATGCAATCGAAGAAACAACTTCCTACTGCCGATATGTGATTGACACATTAGTAGTGTGCAATAATGAAAGTCATGCTTCCTACCTACCCAGATTATTCAACGACATGCATACTAATATTGAATTTACTGTGGGAAATGAAAATGATAGAGAATTCCATTTCCTTGATATTGCCATGCGACACCAGGGAGATAGTGGTCTCCAGAGGTCAATTTACCGAAAGCCTACATGGAATGGACAGTAACTAGATTTTAATAGTTTTGTGCAAGTAGCTTCAAACGAACAGTAGTCAACACTGCATACTATAGAGCTGAAAAAATATGCTCTGCAGAGAAACTAAAGTAAGAATTCACAATTTTCGAAAAGATGTTGAAAAACAACGGTTACCCTCAAAGATATGGAGGGTCTGAAGGCTTAAATATCAAATAAATTACAGTGGAAAAAAGCCTGTCTTCATTCAACTAGATTTCAAAGGTGAAAACATTGCAGCAATATAACCAGAATTTTATCTCTGCAACAGCGAAGTGTACGCTTGTGGACCCTGCCTCTATTACTTTTACTACTAATACACCAAATCGGGGTAGGAGTCCAATAAGTTCTATCTTCTTCTTTTCTGCTGAATTCCAAGGTTTAAATCACTGGAGAAGTAAGATGTCATAGTTACCAGAGATCCATAAGCTTCAGCACAGTAGCTGTCCAAAGCTGCCCAATTTTACAAAGCTGTCTAATTGACATCGGTTCTTGACAAAGAGTTAAAATCGCTGAAATCCTTATAAATTTAGCGTTCGAAAAACCAAATATTCTTGACGTATAACTGGAAGGAGTCTGTAACGGAATAACTGTTCGGAAAATCTCTCCTGGAAGATGCACCTGCAATATTGATATTTACTTGAATGTTCCAACTAACGTTTCTCCTAGTTCACATACCATTGTTCTGGCGTCTGTGATGTGATGACATTGATAATGTACTTTTTTATGACTGTAATTTTGTCTGAGTAAGTCAAGTTGACTCTGACCCTGAACTGTCTGCAGGAAGTGTTTGAGGCGTAATTCTTGCTGACGGAGTTTTCGTCCCACTTTGTTCGGAATTTTCGTCTTGATTCTCAGTTGCCTTATAAGGTTGGTGTTGATTGAACAATTTTGTTGTACAGTACTTGTTTGTATTCGAGAACCTACTGAATTTGTCACAGATACGCAACTGCACTGTTTAGGCAATTTTGCGTTTTCATATATTATCACTGTTGAACAGAACCACATACTTTATGACAAAAAGCCGCCTTCTTACTACGTTTAGGGGCGAAGTTAAACTTTCGACACCACTAACTACCAATCAGCGAATTATGCAATGAGGTTCACGAACGCATTTCAATGTTGTATAGCGCTTGATTCATTTCTAATGCGTGACCTTACAAGGCTATTGTTGCAATTCGAGGAGGTTAGTATTTTCCAGTATTTCCTAGATTTGAGTTGCTCCGGAAAGAACGAATTTGATTATGTGGTGGTATCATGACTTTAAAAAGCTATACCGAATCAACTGATGGGTTTGTTCATCGTTGTGCTATATGTTTGAAGCCTGCTAACACTAGAGAGGGTGCGCTGATAATTTTATTATTTCATAGGAACTTTTTTCGCCAGGTCGCTTCTCTCCCTAAGGATAGCAGATAGAAAAGCAACTACTCTTATACCTATTGATACCAGAATTGCTAAGCGGGGGTCAATTATACGCACGGAAAGGCTACAGTTCGCTGTCATCTCTGGGATATATTCATCATAGAGACAACCATTCATGTGATTTTGTGGATCCCGTTACGAGGACACATACAAATTCTAATGAAGGATTTTGGGGCAGGTTGGAAAACAGGATAAGGGCTACAAATGTATCTCAAAAGGATCTCATTTATAGTCATTTGGATGAATATATGTACAGGATATGGTGTAACTTCTCCATTGACAGTCCCATGCTAAACTGGGAGATTTTTCTCTCACATGTTAGAGAAAGATATCCCATGTAACTTTTTTTATTATCTATTTTATGCTTTTTTTCTATAAATATACATTTCCATTCATCATATATGCCTCTTTAATGTGATTGATCCGTTCGAGGTCGTTTACTGATTGGTTGTTAGTGGTGTCGAAAGTTTAACTTTGCCCATTTAGGTTATTTTGTACTGCGTGTGACTCTAGGAAGTTCTGATCAACCACATAGAAAAGCGCAAATATCAGTTTCCTGCACGTCAACTTGGGTAGTTATACAGTCAAGGGTTCCATGGTGACAAGAACGAAAGGGTTAACTATGGTAAATTTTTTTAATCCTTGACGTTCCCAGAGGAAAATAGGCCTTCAAGCTAGAGGCTTGAAGTTTCAGTAGCAGTGGTGTTTATTTTTAAGGGATGGGATAGCTAGCCTCAAGCCTAACCTCCCCTCTCAAACAGTCTTATTACTGACTGGGGAGTATGTCTCTGGCCAGGGATCGAACCCCGGAACTCTTGATTGGTTGGTGAGCATTCTACCGTTGTGCCACCAACGCATACGCCATGGTAAATTACCAGAAATTAATATGTGTTGGTGACTGAGAGTTGAATTGTCCGCCAACTACTCACGTGGTTGGTGTTGCCTTCTCGGCCGAGGCACTCCTTAAGCATCGCATAGCTTAGCAGCCGATAGCCCGGAAAAGATGAAAAGGTGAGCATAAGGCTGGCGACCACACCTCTTAAAATCAAAAACACCACCACTTCCGCAACTTCAAAGCCTGATGCCCTACTTTTCACTCGGAAAGTCAGAAAATAATAAAAATCAGTGTATTATCGTGTGCGCAGCGTTTAAAATGAAAGTTTTCATGCTGTATGTACATAAAAAGTTCTCGCGCAGAATAATTCAAACAACTAAGCTTTCGAAAAGTAACAAAATATGCTTACTTTATATGCTGCTTTAATACCTCCGTTATCAGCAATATTTTCTCCTAAAGTCATTTTCCCATTGAGCTAGAAATAAAATTTAATTATCAAAAATTAATGATATTACTAAAAAATTCAATAAAACAATTATTATATTATTATTATATCCTTTAATTCCTCGAGGAACATAGGGCTTCAGCTGCGCGTCTCCATTGCCTTCTGTTTTCTGCCAGCTTTTTCACCCCGCTCCAAGTTTGCCCACATGCTTTCATCTCCTCTTCACATGACATCCTCCAAGTCGCCCTTGGACGACCAGTTTTTGAGTGTTGAACTTAGCTTGTGGTCTATTCGCAACTCTTGTTTCCGTAAAAGCTTTTCATTTGATTTGGATTGTCCCTTATACGAGATAGTGGTATGAGCCAACGTCTGCTCCTCTTCTTACTTTTGTGTCCAGTAGGCTGCGCCTCCACTTCCTTGAGCAGCATTGAGATGAAGTCAGTTTGGTTTTTAGTTTGCCCGTCTGGTGATACCCATGTAGCCTTGTGGATATCTTTGTGTTTGTCTACACTGCCACCAATCACTAGTTCGTTGAGCGCGAAGAAGTCGGCGAAGAGTTCTCCATTTTCATTCATTTCTCCGAGAGCTTCTCTAACCATGATGAGTTCCCTTCCTGTGTTGTCTGGTCCTAGCTTGGCGTTCATGTCTCCCATTAGTATTTTAATGTCGCCATTTGGAATATTGTCCATTGTTGCCTGTAGTTGCCTGTAGAATTCTTCTTTCTTTTCGAGGTCTGCGTTGTTTGTGGGTGCATAACATTGTATGATTGACACTTTCCTTCCTTTGGAGTTGAAACTGGCGGTCATTATCCTGGACGAGATCGCCTCCCATTGCATCAGGGCCTTTGTTGCCGTTGGTGACATCATGATAGCCACGCCCTCGGTGTGTGTGTGGTTATCTTCTGAGTGACCGAAGTAGATCACTGACTCACCCATTGACAATTTGGTGAGTCCATTCCCATTCCATCTACTTTCACATATTCCCAGTACTCGGATTCCGTATCTTTTCATCTCGTTTGCGATCTGGGCAGCTTTGCCAATATCGTACATAGTGCGGACGTTCCATGCCCCCACACATTTAAGCATGCTGTATTTTTTAAAGTACAATAAAACAATACTTTAAAAAATACAGCATGCCCAACTAAGGGAAACATTGACTCATGATAATACACTCTTTATGTCCGTTATAACGGTACATTAGTTAAAAGCCTTCTAAGTCTATAGGTCACTCCTTATGCAAAAAATGCTGAGCTTGGTAACAGTATTTATGAAATCACATATAAGGAGGAAAAATGGAAAATTTGAAGGGCCTGGTTATGTAATGTTATACAATCTAAAAACAGTAAGTAATGAATAGCGTTCAGAAATCACTACATTTGAAATCGCAGTCTTTGTGGTTTTTTAACTTTTAAAATAATTTGGTTTGCAGACTTTCTTCAATTCAGGTTTTCCCTATTCTTCTTTTCTTTCACGCTCCTAGTTTTATTCTTAAAAGGTGTGCAGATATCCTGTGTTATCCTCTCATGGACATATTTAAGGAATCTTTTTCCAGAAATGTCGTGCCAGACGTTTGGAAGGAGATTAAAATTGTACATATAGCTAAGTCATCTACTGGAACATGTTTTAAATTTAAACATATTCCTATTACCTACCCATTCCTAAGAGTTATGGAAAAGATACTCTTACTTAATCTTCAACCTTGACTTAAAACCTTTAACGACCTCAAACAATTCGCTTAGAATGCAATTGCAGTCTTGTATCATAACATTGTCTATAGCTTAGACAAGGGGGCTAAATTTGTTCACTGCACCTTCCTAGATTACAAATCTGCTTTCAACTCAGTATCTAGGGACATTTTGTTAAACAAACTTGCTGAAACTCAAACTGACTGTCGGGTTGTCAACTGGCTGCATTCTTATTTCTCAGGAAGAAAGCAGTATACTGTATGTCAGGGAAAGTTGTCCACTTCATTGCTTATTGAAGCTGGTGTTCCTCAAGGTGCTGCTATTTCTCCTTTTCTATTTTATTTCCTCTTGCATGACTTGCCTCACTCTGATGAAATTAACTTTGTTAAGTATGCCGATGATCTAACTATTTCAACGTCTGTTAACTCCCAGCTTGACTGTACTAAGATAAACAGCTTTCTATCAGGAGTCAGCAAATGGTCTTCACCTAATGGTCTTTAGATTAAATCCTTCCAAATGTTAGACTGTCAATTTCAGTTTCCGACGTTAAATGAAGCCGTTGGTTCATATGACCCTTGCAAAATTGATGATACTGATATAGAAATCAAGTCTGGCATTAGGTATCTTGGATTAATTCTTTCTTCTGACCTATCCTGGTCTTCCCATGTCTTAGCAATTTCTACAAGAATATTTCATCTGACATTTTACGTTAAGGAGTTAAGGCACTCAGACATAACCTAGCCACCCCTCATGCAGTTTGTCAACTCTTACATCTTACCTATTCTTCTTTAGTCTCCACCCTTATTCTTTCCTGGATTGCTTAAAAAAGACTATGTCATACTTCGTAGAACTCTGAAGAAAGTCAGTAGGACGAGTTGTATCCTATCCCATTGGGCCATATCGTTGACATTGTCACTGATAGGCACATGATGTCATGCAACAAATTCGCTAAAGGAATTTCGTCAGACTCTGAGCACCCACTCTACCGGCTGCTCCAACCTTGTGTCTCCTTAGGTAAAAGAAGAAGTCTTTTCAGAAGACTTTATGCACGTACGTCTAAGTATAAAAATTCCACTGTATCATATTTGGCGGCACGTACTTTATGCAATGAAAATGATGTTAGGCATGAACTAACTAACCTTCTTTGCACCACTAAATAAACCATTTTCTCCACCGTTATAACATCAAGGTTTATTGTTATTGTATTTCTTATATTTACAGTCCTCTCAACTTTTTGTTTTTATTTTTTTTCATATGTGCGAACATGATTTAAGCTTTGGTAATAGCTGTTAATTTTGTTTTACCCCTCACTATACTTTATCAACAGAACATCAGATTCAATAATCTATAAAATGCTAAAATTTCTAAACTGAATCGACAATACTGTTTGAAACAAACTCACTGTCGAAGTGCTCGGTCCCAGGTTGACATGTCGGCTTCTTGTGCAGATGCTTCGACGATGTCCGGGCATTTAGTTAGGATACAATTGGCATCTGCACAGGAAGACGACATGTCAACCTGAGACCGAGCACTTCGGTCCAATCAATCGACGGGAAAATCAAAAAATCCAATTCAATAATTAATATGACCCGTTGCACAAGAGGTGGCTCTCGTGGCCCAAGTGGTCTAGTGGATAACGCTTTGGCGTTCGAAACTTTGGGTACTGGGTTCGAGCCTCGTTGGGAACATCATCACTCACTGAAAAATGCAGGTACATCCAGCTGACGAGTCCCAAATAGGACGAAATGTGCATCCTGGATTCCACTGCTAGTCACCATCCACCAATTGTATCCAAACTCACTGTTATTATCATATTTAATAATCTCAATTCGTGCTTCGAATATTTTTGACCTTATATCGTAAACGCGGACAAATTCCTCTGGTTACTTTTGTTTTAATTTTTAATTTTATTTATATTTTAAGTAAATCAGATGCGGAATTGTGACAAAGGCTGAGAATTCCATTCTGTATCATAAGTAATGTTTTTGGAATAAAGCAGAATATATATATCTATTCTAAATCTCTTGAGCTTATGAACAATATTCCTATTTCCAAGCGATGACGGCTTTGATATATAAATTATTTACGAATGCTATTATTATTAATCCCTTCAACATTATGTATCCATTATCTCCTGCTTTCTTCAGTCCTCTTCAGGTGGCCTCACTATTCCCCATAATCCCTTATCTTCTCCTCCTTCTAAGATGATCTCCCCCATGTCAGTCTCAGACATACACCCAACTTGTTTCCCCCTTCGTCTTCCACTTGAGCAATGGCCTGGTGCATAATAGCAGTCAACGGACTCATCAGCGTGTGTCCATTCCATCTCCTTTTCCCTTTGAAATATTCGTTGAATGACAGTTTCTTGATTGGTTCATCCTCAGAGTCTCTTGTTGTTAGTTTTTTTCGGGTCAACAATCTGATCTTTAGTAGGCAGCTGGAAAAGGCAAATGTTGATAAAGGTCTACAGTGTCCTGTTCAAAATGTTTTTTTCGTGACGTATATGCCAAGTTGCTGACCCATAGAGAAGTACTGACTGACTTAATAGTGGTATTGAAAATCCACACACACACACACACACACACACACTGATTTCAGAGCAGTGAATATCTGTCTCGTCTATCGGATCCTGGTTGGTTTTAATTTCCTCATCCATGTCGTCCTCATGCAGCTAAAACGATGCGCTGCTCAAATAAGTAGAAGAAGTGACTTCCTTAAAATTTCTACCGTTGATAATGATTGGTCCTTATTGTAGTTGTTGTTTGATTATCTTCATCCCCACCACTTTGTCTATGTTCACCTGTGGTCCTGTCATCACCGCTTCTTCTGACAACTTGCTAGTTTTCGTCTATAAGGCTTTCAATTTACGTGAAATTGGACATACACCTTCCGTGAAGTTCAAAGTTTCTAGAGTGTTTTCATCTGAACGGTATTCATTAATTATTGTTTTAAGATTTTATAGGACTACTATATTATAAACTAACATTAGTTACAGAGATCATTGAGAACCAGGGAGCACTTGACAGCCAGCTGTTTCATCCTAGTTTGGGACTGTTCAGCAGTACGCACTCATAATAACCCTGTCAGGGATCGAACTAGGTATCTTCAGGTCACAAGACAAAAATTGGTGACCATCCAGCCACTTGAACTGGAATTCAATGACCAGTGAATTCTAACTTTCAGATAGTGGAAAAATTCCATTAAGACTTTAGAAAGAAGAGAACACGAAGTTCAGCAAAGATATATTTCGGCGTCTGTATGGTATGTACTTTGCGCCGTCTAAGTGCAAAGTACTGTTACAAGATTGTCAGGAGCCTGTACCTACACTCACTCTTCCGGGTGAACCACTTGAAGTTGTTGATAAGTTTGTGTACCTGGGTAGTTGTGTGTATGCTGGCGGAGGGGTGATGGGTGAGATTTCCAACCGAATATTGAAGTCTAGGGTGGCAAACATCAACTTGAGCCACCTCTGGCGCCATCGCGAAGTTAGCCTGGCTGTCAAAGGTCGGTTATACAATGCTTCGGTGGGAGCTGTCTTGATCTGCGCCTGTGAAACCCGACCTCTCCGAGTAGGCTGAGGATGTGCAGTGGCTCTGCGTGTTCGATCATCGCTGTCTCCTCAGGATTGCTTACGTTCAACGGCATCGTCGCGTGCGTAATTTTGAGGTTCGGCGGCATGTGTTTGAACACAGTGACGATCACCACTCATTGAGTGTTGTCATCTGGAAACACCGGCTTCGGTGGCTTGGACATGTGCTGCGAAGGTCATCCCAGAGGCTTTCGTACAGGTCTCTGTTCTCTAGCCCTTGGACGGGATGGAAAAGGTGGAGAGGTGGTCAGTGCATGACTTGGCGTCGTGGGATGAAGGATTTCTGCGCTAGATTAGCATAGGTTAGTGTGTCACGACTCCCTGGTTGGGGTCCGCGAGATAGCTGGAATCGATGGTACGGAACGTTATCGGATATGGCCAAGAATCGTAATCAGTGGCGAATGCGTTGCGATCTCCTTCTTTCTTCGCTTCCCGATGATAGCTAACGAACAGTGTTTGAACTTGTTAAGCATGACTGTTTTCATTCCAGATGAAGTTCTTTATCAGTTCTCTACTTATATTTTTTACTTTTAACCTATGTTGTTTTATTATTATTGTGTGGCGCATCTTTCTTGATGCCATATTGGACCAAGTTTTTTCTGTGTTTAAATAATAATAATATCTTTTCGGCAGTTTCATTTTCAAAAGCAGCTGTACAATCGCATTTAAATACATAATTTTACATAGATACAATTTTTACTTGATTCTACATAATTACGAAGGCGAATAAAAGGTGATAATTATTTTCACACATTTATAATTTTCACCGTTTACTCGCCTTCGTAAGTATGTGGAATCATGTAAAAATTGTATCTGTGTAAAATCATGTATTTAAATGCGATTGTACAGCTGCTTTTGAAATGAAATCGCTGAAAAGACAGATATCTTTGCTGAACTTCGTGTTCTCTTCTTTCTAATTTTTAACTTTGTCAACTTGTAATATAGTGCTACTCTCACCAGTGAGCATCCTCCTCAAACGGACATAGTGGATCTCACTGAAGCTTCAGGAAATCCATCCAGTTGGTATGAGTGAGCTAGAGATTGATACTCAGATTATAGTTTCTAAGGTAAATCCAACATTTGAAATCAATCCAAATATGCGCACAAATCCCGATAGATTAGAGAACGTTTATGGGGAAATATTTAAAGTAGTTACCGAAAAACACTATAACCCAGGTGTTTATTATTTCCTTTACCCTACCTTGGACATATTCAGAAATTTTTAGGAAATAAAAATGACTATAGACCTTAATAAGTGCGGCACTACATTTTATGACTGTTCTTCTGTCCTAGATAAAGTTTAATTACTTTTTATTTAATTACAATGACGTTATCCATTTTAAAACCATTCAGATTTCTCCAACTGGTGAGGAATGTTTATTCCCTTGACCTTGATGTCTTTAACTGCTTTTCGCCGCAATTTCCAAAACACATGCGTTACCTTTTCTTCATTATTGTTATTATCATTGATATTATGTGTTTTAAACGTTCAGCCACGAAGAGCTACAAAAAAAAGCATCCTTAAACCATGATTATTTTTGGGACCATATATAATTATTTCGGAAGTCCACTTCTGCTTACTAAATCAAAAAATGAAACGAATAGGTGAAGATAGTTTAGAAGACTTTCTAGACTATAGAAATAGTAAAGTTTCAGGTGAATGTGCCTTGATTTTCTCATAAGTGTTCATTCATCTGCAGAAATCAATCTTTTCTTAAATAGATAATTTCTTGGTGTTTGAATTGAGAAAAAATGATTTCAACATTGAAATAATCTGGCAGATGGTGACTATCAATGGAATGCAGGAGGCGTGTTTCGTCATACTTGGGACTCGTCAGTCGAACGTACCTGCATTCTCACACAGTGAGTAATGGTGTCATGTCAATAGAAGCCGAACAATTCTGTCTGATCAATTAATTAATAGAACTTCAGAATCGATTTAAAAAGAAGGGTACAGCAGGTTGAAGATGAGGAAGGAATTCATCGAGGAAGACATTGCGAAATAGTTGCACTATGTCGTGAATTGGCAGAAGTTTGAATTCAAAGATCATTAGATTGGGTCCCAGTGGCTCGATCGTCTACAAGTTCGCTAGCCTTGTAACCAGAAGGTCCTGGATTCGAACCGTGGTGGTGGGTGCGTACTGCTGAAGAGTCCCAAACTAGGACGAAACAGCTGTCCAGTACTCCCAGGTTTTCCAGTGGCCCTCTAACCGATGTCAGCTCATGATGAAATCCTCCATGCAATCAAACGGAATCCCTACAAAACCAATACTTAAAAAGAAATAATTACTAACTCCCGTTGCAGAATAGGTGGCTCCCGTAACCTAGGTGGTCTAGTGGAATGCAATCACTCAATGAGGGTTGCAGGTACACCAAGCTGAAAAGTCCCAGAGAGAGTGAAATTGACATCCTGGATTTCGCTTCTAGTTGCACTCTGTCATATTACTTCAAGCTAGTCGTCAGATATTGTTTAAGCGTCTCCACTGAAGGCCACCGACATGTTAATAGAGGCTAGACATTTTGGTCTTGTCAGTCAATCAAAGAGAAAGTCAAAATTAACTCCAGTGAATGATTTTTATAATTGCTATATAGTACATCATTACTGGAGGAGAATCGTGTCAGTAGAAGTAGTTACAATGATAAACGGGGAATTTTTACTTTAGTACATGCGTAGTCTATTTTTATGGTTGACTGATATTTCCCTTTTTTATCCCAACAGTGTTCTAGTTTTTGGCATATGAAGGAGAAGAGGAATTCCAACATGTCAGCAGTGTGGATTCTATTTTCGATTATATAAAAACAAAACTATAGTGGTTATAAAATGCTGATAGAGAAATAACAATTAAAAAAAGTTATTTAACATGTATAATATATATATATATATATAGGATGAAACACTTACGCTTGTATTATGAATTGAATAATTACTATATTGTTCAATCATACATTGGGAGCGTTTTTCAAAAGCTGTCTGTGTTGCTGTACTCCACCACTCGCGCATATTTCCTTTAGCATCAAACTTTGCACCTGTAAAATGATATACACACATTTTCTTTTCAATATACACCACATAGATAGCAGTTATCATGTTTGTTTTTCATAATAGTATTTTTTTTATCAACTATAGTAGTGAGAATATGATTAAATTAGATAGGTAAGAAGCGATTTATGCATTCCTTACAATTGTTAGTGAAACAATATATTTGCACAAAATTGCAGTTCCCAGTTCCATTTCTTACAAACAAAGGGTACAAAATGTCCTCTCAACTTTATACTGTGAAGGAAAGTATAGATATCATTTCCAGTTTACTAGAATCAGATACAACACTATCAAAAGATGTCCACTGAACAACAGTGAAGTGATAGAGAAGATTTGTAGCTCAGGTGGATGATTTTGATGTGGTTTTGTTCTCTGAGCTGGATGGGATACGCGGGATACGCTTCTCTCTGTTCGAAAGTGGGAAGACTTCGCCAAAAGGCAAGGATCCACCAGAGAACAATTATTCTTTCTCCATGAGTGCCTTCGTCATTCAATCCTACCAAACAGTGTAAGATACAAACCACCAGTCAACTGCCCAATGGGATGGAAATTGGCCGAACAATGTGGAAGACGAATGGTCAAATTAATGATTACAGACGCACATTATCGGATCAACAAATATCAACAAATTATAGATATCCAAAAAGCAAAATTAGAGAAAACCCTCAACCAGGAACACCTGTCAACGCTGATCACCGCAATTACACTGTCAAGTGAAAAACACAGAGAACAAAGACGAAGAGTCCTCAAAACCAAGCTAGCCAAGATTAGAAAACAACAACCAGACAATACGCCCATAGACTGCGTAGTCAACCTATCAAAACAACCACTATCAAAAATGGAACAACAACTACTACAAAAAGGATTAAACTACAACACCGGAGATGCTTCAAAAACTGATTTCTTCGCTGCCTTTGAATCATTACTCAAATCATCAAACTTGAACGAGGAAACACAGGAAGAGATACGCCAAACAATTGTACCAATGGTCAAACAGAAAAGACAACACACACAACTCAACTCTCAAGAACTAAAGGCCCTCAAAAAGCTGAAAAATAGGAAGGACATCGTCATTTTACCAGCCGACAAAGGAAGAACAACAGTAGTCATGGACAGAGAAGAATACCAAGAAAGCTGAAGAACTACTCAAAGATGAAGATGTATATCAACAACTCCCAACAAATCCCATACAAACATTGGATAACCGCATCCAAAGGACCTTAAACAAGCTCACCAAAACTGGACAGATCACAAAACAAGACCAATGGCGAATGAAATCCAATGGACCAGTCCCCCCTCGATTCTACGGCAGACCCAAAATACACAAGGCAAATATCCCGTTACGACCAATTGTATCACTCCCAGGAACTCCAACATATAATTTATCCAAAAATTATACAGAAAACTAAAACACCTAACGGAATCTTGCGATCACTCCATCAACTCTGCTATCCAATTCCTAGAGAAAATCAGAGGCATCCAAATAGATGAACAAGAAATAATGGTATCCTTCGACGTGACAGCATTATATACCTCCATCGGACAAAAACTAGCAAAAGAAACCATGGAGCAATTACTTAGCAACGACGAACAACTCCACAACAATCAAAAATGCAACACACAAGCTGGATGGAATGCATAAATCTATGCCTAACAACATACTTCCAATTCAACGGCCAAATATATGAACAAGTCAAAGGAACACCCATGGGATCGCCAATATCAGGTTTGATTGCAGAAGCAGTGATGCAAAGACTCGAAAACATAATTCTACCAAAGATCAAACCCAAGATTTGGATACGCTACGTCGACGACACATTTGTAATAATCAAAAGAAACGAATTAGATAAAACTCACAACTTAATAAACAACGTCTTCAACGACATCAAATTCACAAGAGAAGAGGAATCCGAGAACAAAATACCATTTTTGGACGTCTTAGTCAGGCGAACAACTACAGGAGAATTAGAAACTCAAGTTTATAGGAAATCAACTCACACAGACCAAATACTGAATTACAACAGCAACAACCCAATAACACACAAAAGGAATTGCATACAAACACTATTCAAGAGAGCAAGGACTCACTGCAGCACTCCCACCTTAAGAAAAATTGAAGAAAAGTATCTCATGGACGTCTTCCAAAAGAATGGATATCCACGGAATTTCATCAAGAGACATATACCCCCAAGCCAACCTACCAAAGCAAAAGCCACCAAGGAAAACACAAAGAAAATCGCCTTACCATATATAAAGGATATCTCAGAAATCACTACAAGACTCTTCAAACCTTTAGGAATTGACGTCGTACACAAACCAACAAAGTCGCTTCACTCAATTCTATGTCAACCAAAAGACTCAACAGCGAAAGAAGACAAAACCAACATCATCTACAAAATAAACTGTAACAACTGCGAAAAACACTACATCGGCCAAAGTGGACGTCCCCTTCGTCTTCGTATCCACGAACATAAGCTAGCCGTCAAAAGACATGATATCCACTCCCTCATTTCACTACACACAGACAACCACGGACATCAATTCGACTGGGACAACGTTCAAATATTAGACAAAGGAAATAACAAGAATGCTAGAGAATTTTTAGAAGCTTGGCATTCCAGTGAATCATCAATCAATAGACACATCCAGATAGACAAAATTTATCAACCAATAAGAAAGAAACTTCCACACAAAGAGTCAAAGTTCAAGTCAAAGAAACAATCAGTTCCAATACAAGTAACCTAGAAGGTGTGAAAACACACAAAACAACCAATCACGTCCAAGGTCACCAGGAGAGATGATTAATAAACTCGTGGAGAAATCTAAAAGCTCACTTCAGAGAATTGATGTATGCGCTGAAGATGTCGCCTAGTAGGACGGGCAATGAAAGCATCGCAAATTAACTATCCAGCTCAGAAAACACAACCACATCAACAACAGTGAAGTAATTAACAGCTTAAAATTCTGTCTAGAAAGTACTTATTTTATATTTAAGGAGAATTTATTTAGTCAGACAAATGGTGTTGCTATTGGTTCACCAGTTTCCCCAATAGTCGCTGATCTTTTTATGAATAGATTCGAAGATAACATCTTCTCAAGCATACTCACTCCTAAAATATGGTTAAGATATGTAGATGATACTTTTGTAGGGCTGAAAAGAGATCTACGCAGTTCACTCTTAGAGGTAATAAACAATCTATCTCACAAAATCCAGTTTACTTCAGAAGCAGAATCAGACGTCGGTGAACTACATTTCCAGACTGCCTAGTTAAGAGGAGGGAAAACGGACATTTGAATATATCTATATTCAGGAAAAAACCACTTCAGCAAATATATAGACATTAAATTATCACACCTCATCAGCTCAAAGATTTCAGTTGTTTCAAGTCTTCTTAGACGAGCACACTCTTTGATAACGGATGTGGAGGAAAACGAAGATAAATAACTACCCAAAGAACTTCATCAACAAAATCCATACCGACATTAAGTATGGTCGAAAACGTATTTCGAAAACATCGACCTAAACAGTTGTCATTCCAAATAGAGCAGAGACGTCAGACGATATCAGAAGAGTGCTCAATAAGCACAACAAAAGAGTTCTCTTCAAAACATCAGACACACTTCAAAGCAACCTTGTCTATACAAAAGACCAAATCCCGAAAGATTCTCTAATTGTGTCTATAAAATAAAGTGCTTGGAATGTGATGCGATATACATCAAACAAACATCTCGAGAAATCAAAATCAGAAGAAATGAACTCCGTAGAGCTGCATCTGTTCGACCACCGAGAAATCCAGCTGAATAGAAAGGCTTCAAAAATTACCAGTCATAGGTCTACACGCTATAGAATCACGCCACAAATATAACTTTGACAATATTTAAATAATCTAGAAAAAGCATATCGGAAATCTCAGAGAAGGTTTAATATCATCAGAAGTACTTCATATCAAATGGAATCCAAATTGTCTGAACTGAATAGGAGTGATGGACCAAAACAGAATTTCACCTGGTTACAACACACACACACACACCCTCTAACATAAAATAACAAAATCAACACGAATGTGATAAGCAATTTCATTTTGTAAGTACACTCTGCTTTTATAATTTTACACACTCATCAAATCCAAAATTCTACATTTGGTTTTGTTAGCTTCACTAACTAACTGACCAACTTGAACACAACGCAAAAATAACCCCATGCCAATTAAGTTGTCATATATATACATATATATATATATATATATATATATATATATATGCTGATATTTTGTAAATTAATAATACTTTGATGAAGCTATTAGCAGTATTAAATAGAGAAATGTCAGCAATACACCATTTTTTTTAAATACTAAACGTTCAAGGTGTCTAAAAAAAAATTTTGAATCAGTAACAACTATATCAAATTATTTGAAAAGTTTTACGCCATCTGATACTTTATGATATCAGATCATATGATTATAAAAAAATTATTTCAGTCTGCTAGTCAGTTATGTAATCCTGTAGGTGCATAGGAAGGTTTGAACAAGAGGATTTCATTTAAACTGGGTGCTAAATGATATGAAGCTAATCACGCGTATTCCATCAGTAGTTATGAAGCGATCATACTGTACAAGGTTAAAAAACAGATATGATAGAGAAGATTTGTAGCTCAGGTGGATGATTTTGATGTGGTTGTGTTTTCTGAGCTGGATAGTTAATTTGCGATGCTTTCATTGCCCGTCCTACTAGGCGACATCTTCAGCGCATACATCAATTCTCTGAAGTGAGCTTTTAGATTTCTCCACGAGTTTATTAATCATCTCTCCTGGTCACCTTGGACGTGACTCTTTGGTTGTTTTGTGTGTTTTCATACCTTCTAGGTTACTAGTATTGGAACTGATTGTTTCTTTGACTTGAACTTTGACTCTTTGTGTGCGAGGTTTCTTTCTTATTGGTTGATAAATTTTGTCTGTCTCAATGTGTTTATTGATTGATGATTCACTGG